CCACGCCCTCCGGCACGTGACCCGCGGCCCTCTGCGCTTAAACCGGCGACGACCGCCAGGCCGTGGTGGGGCCCAGCAGCGCGGGAGGCTCTTCCCCTTTCCCGGAGCGCTGGATCCCTGGGCGGCTCACGGGCTGCAGCCGAGGTGCGGCGAGACCGACAGGGACGTGCTTAGCGCCGGTGGAGGCACAGCCAATCCCACCCGCGGCTTCCCTGGCTTGTTCTGGGCCTGGCTCCAATCCGTCTACGAAGGGTTTGCGCAGGGTCGGGTGCCCGTGTGGGACAGGGCTGCCCCTGGTCTGCGGAATGCTCGTCCTTGCTCCGGAGAGGGCGTACTGACCCTGCCTCAGGGAGTTTAGTAAGGGAGATGCGTGCTGTGATCAACACCTGGATGCTGTGAGCATGTAACAAAGAAACCTAGTTTAGATGGTGGGTCAGAAAGTCTTTTTTGAATAGCTTTGATATTTGAGGGAATGGGGAGAAACTCATTCAAGCGAGGCATAGAACAGAGAGACGAAAGGAAGGGATCAGGGATGATCCTTAGGTGTCCATTCTCAGCAACAGGATCGATTTGAGCATCATTCTCTAAGATATAGAGACTTAGCAACAGGATGGATTTGAGCATCATTCTCTAAGATATAGAGACTTGAGAAGTTTGGTGTGAAAGTAAAGAAGATCAAGATTGGAGATAAGAATCCAAGGAGAATGACATCTAAACAGATTTATAGGTCTGAAGCTCACCAGAAAAGTAACAAGATAGAAATTAAGAGTTTTGGAATATAGACGGTATTTGAAGCCATGGAATTGGATGGGATGGCCAAAGACAGGGGCATAAAGTGAAAAAAAAAAAAACATAAAACCAACCTTTAGAAGCCAGGAAGAAGAGCCAGTAAAGGATAACAAGCAGAGCCTGCCAGAGAAATAGAAAAAGGAGAGGGGATTGTCTGTGAAGCTAACTAGAGAAACTGTTTGAGGAAGCAGCGCCATGTGCTTTAATAAAGGCAGCTGAGAAGTCAGGTAAGAAAAGCCCTGAAGTGTCTTCCATTTTATCCCAAGGAAGACCCTGGAGCTTCCTCTGGAAGACCATTGCTGCAGGAGTGGGGGACAGAGCCATACTGCAGAGGGCTGAATGGAGAAATGAGAAATGAAGGGTAAGTTTGAAATTTTAAATGAAAGCAGGAGCAAGGGTGTTCCAACTTTACCGTGCTTTAGAACCACACGAGCCGAGGAATCTGCAGAACCCCAGGTACTTCTGAGGCAGAGTAGGAGGACTATGTTTATAAGGACGAATGGAGTGGGGCATCTTTGCATGGAGTAAGAATGGTTTAGCAGAGAGGTAAAGATGGAAAAGGAGACATCCACCTGAGGTGAAATGGGGTGGGCCCCAAAATAGACATGGAGTAATTCGTCTTTTCTGTATTCCTGGGGAAGAAGGAGGCTGGGAGACTTGTAGGTAGGAAGATGAGGGCATTCCTCTCCCTTTTCTTCAAGGGATTGTCAAGGAGATGTCATTTCTCCTTGGATTCACATGTTCAAAACAAAACTCTTGATCTCCACTTTCCTGCCAAATTCTCAAGCCTCTATATCTTAGAGAATGATGTCAAGGTCTCCAAAAAGAGAAGAAAAAAGAAGTGAAAAAAAACAAAAACTGCTCCTTTAAAGCTCCTGCTGTTTGGCCCCACCATAACGCTTGCTTCTTGTCCTTGTCTCTGTTGTCCACTAACCAGGGTTACAGGATCCTTCTGCCCACATCCTGCTGTCGCCTATCAGCATCCTTATGGGTGACGCAACCCACACCCTGCCATCCCTCCAGATGATCTCCTGGGACCTTTCTTCACCCTATTCAGGACCCTCAGTCCTTTGTCCCATCTTCTCTGCCCACTTCCTCCTTTCTTCCCTCATCCAGCTGTGATCCCATTTTTCTCCATTCCGGTACTGTTTTTGTCATTACCCTTAGTTAACATAATTGCTTTTCTGTCCCTGTTGCACTTGTCTGGCAGAGTCTCAACTCAGAATGAACTCAGCCACCTGCTTTCTCTGCCCCTGGCCCTGGAGGAGCCACACCACAGGGCAGAAGGTACTCTAGCAATTCAAATCTCTCTTTTCGGACCTGGCTCTCCTCATCGGCTGTCTCCCCTGTTCTTTTCCAAGCCATCTCCGCTCTCCTCAGCCTGCCTCATCACCCTTCGCACAGGGCCTTGCCTCTGTTTGTGGAGAAAGTGACACCATCATATGGAAACACCAGTGGTCCAGCCGCCACAATCGCCCCTCCACCCCTCTGATCCTCCACGACTTAGAAAACTGCCGATCCTGCCCAAGGCCAAAGCCAGTACTTTTTGGATCCCATCTCTCACTTTCTCAGAAAACTTACACTATTGATTATCCTACCACTCCTCAAAAACTGGCTCCTAGAAATAGCCTTTCAATGTACTCATCTCTTTCTTTTCTAAAAACAAAACAAAAACTGAAAACAAACTCAAAAACCTTCCCCGAAACAGTTATCCCTCTGCAGCTATTACCCCCTTCTTGTTCACAGGAAACCTCTCTCAAGAGTTGTGATGCTCGGTCTGTTTCCTCATTCTTAACCCACTCCAGTCTGGCTTCTGCCCCAGCACTCTGAAAACAAAACAGCTCTCATCAGGTTCCCTAAGGACCTCCATATCGCTACATTCATACAGCTTTTTCAGTCATCTTATGAATTTTCCAGAAGCATTCACTACCTCTTAAACACTCCCTTGTTCTCATGAAACTTTGTTGCTATTTATTTTTGTAATTATTTGATTGAAATCTTGTTTCCACTGACTGTGAGATCCATGAGGGGAGGGGCCACGTCACTTTATCACTGTTTGTCCCTCGGCCCTTACATCATTGCCTACTTCTCATCTCCACTTAGATGTCTCAGAGCAGCCTGGAAATCAATATCTCTAAAATAACATCCCTGATCTCCCACACCAGGGTCCTCTCCAAGGGTCCCTCATCCCAATAAATGGCATCTCCTGTTGCATAAATCAAGAAGCTAGAGTCATCCTTGACGTGTCCCTTTCTGTTACTATCCCCGTGCCCAAACATGGATTGACCATCAACTGAAAATAGGAAAAGTCTGGAGATTGAGAGGCTCCCAAGAGAACCAAAGCTTCTCCACAGAAGAGCCTATTCTGAACATGACCCACCGGAGTATCTGCCAGAGCAGAGGAGGCAGTAATGCAGTGTGTTTGGGGGTGGGGGGCGGGCACGCACGGATGTGCATGCATTCAAGACAGCATTAAAGACACTTTGATTATTTGCTCCATGCCCATATAGGATTCCCTATTCTTCTCAGATTTAAAAGATTATCTTTCCCTTGATAAACATCAAGACTCTAAAATTAGTCCTTAAAAATGGATCAATAGTCATTTCTAGAATGTTACCGGGTCTCAAATTCGTAAGTGCCTAATACCAGTTTGGAAATCACCATAAATGACAGACCAAAATTAGAATTAGGTGAGAATGTTCTTTATATTGTATCCTACCTGGCCTGATAATTCTGTTATCAGAAGTTTCTTTCTGTGGATTTCTTTTGTTACTTTGTTACAGAATGGTAGCCGCCTCTTTCCTCGTTTCAGTTATTTATGTAACAGGTGATGTTTCTGCTGCTTCTTTAAACACTAAATTGAAGAAAGAATGCAAAGCTATACCTCTGTTTTGGTTTCTTTTCATTGCTGCCACGCCTTTTCTCTGATCTCTTGATTTGATTTTCAGAAAGATAGAAGTTCATGATACAAATCAAAGTAATCCAAATGTTTAATATTTAAAATTCATTTTTATTGGAAATGAAAAGTGGCATTTTTCAAGTGATTCATTAAACAGTCTCAAAACTGTCTTTTAACTATGTTTAGTTGTTTTGAAAGCGAATTTAAGTAAAACCTTTCTAAAAGCCTATTTACCCTGAAACCCATGGAAGGAACAGTAGACATCTCTCCTACCCCTACCAGTGACTCTGCCGGAGAAAATGCTCATGGGAGTGTTTGAGCTCGAAGACGTTTCTAGAGACTGTATAGTTCAACTGCTCCACACACCAGCTGGTTGTCAGAATCAAAGAGTTTACTGAAAGGAATGGATGCATGGGGATTACAGTAATTCCAATAGTATGGAAACATATCAAATGAAAAAAGAAAATCTCTCTTCTCCCTCCTCCCCAACAATCCTCAAGGCCACAACCCAGAGGAAGCCACTGTTGCCAATGTCTCTTTTTAGCTCTGATGATCACAACATAACTCTCATGTACTTGTCTTATTTCATCAGCTCCAAGTAGTGTATGTTATTCCCTGCTATGAAAAATAAAATGAGGATTTTAGTACATTGATCTGCTCCTCACCTCCTTTATCCCCATACTTTTCAATTTTTGTTAATTGTATTATTTTTAGTTTTTCTAGTATTTACTTGCATAACTTCATGTAACATACCTAGACTTCCATTTTTGATCCATCAGGGTTAGAAAGTTTCCAATGACACTCTGCTGTATGAGATTAGGAGACGAAGGTGCCTATACCAACCCCCTTCTCTCCTTCCTCTTTCCTACTCCCAGTCTTTTACATTGTCAAGGTTAAGGGTATTTATGTTCTATAAATACAAGTTCAGTGCCTTGCCTATGGACCATTTCTAAAATTTGAAAAATAATAAGCGTTAAAAATATGATTATTTTAAATATTATGAATATTTACTATAGAACTGTAGAATGACTGGGTCTATAGAAAAGTATATGTAATCTGTGCTCACTAAATTTGACCACTTAAAAGAGAATCTCCCAAATAACAAAGTCAAAAATCTTCACTGTTTGCTCAAAAATTATGGCACATTTTTGTTTGCTTCAGCTACAACTAAATTCACATGGTTTTTGTTTGTTTTTCTGGAATTTTAAATTGCTTTTCTTTTTTGTTGTTGCTGTTGACAGAAGAGACTATGCTTTTATCCTATCTTTTAGGTTTTCTAGGTTCTTGTTAATTATACAGTTTGCATAATTAACATAATGGACTCCATGTTGTTCTTGCAGACATTCTACAGAAAGCCCTCGCATTTCTTATTCTGTTCTGATTGTCCAGTTAGAATTGCATCTGGCTGCAAGTAACAGAAAACCCAAGTTACTGTAGCTTAACAAATAGGGCTTTAATTTTTCTCAGGGAGCAAGAAGTCTGGAAGTAAGCCATCCATGGCTAGCCCCTGGAGCTCCATGCTGCCTCAGAGATCTATACACCTTTTTCCTCTCCACTTAGCAATCTATCCTCAATTGTGTCACTTTCATCCTCATGCTTATCGCCTGATAACTGCATGACAGATGCTTAGACTAACATGGGGTCCACAATTCTTAGGCAGGAAAGAGGGGAAAGGTGAAGGGCAAAAGGCCTTGCTGGCTGACTTTGAGTCTCTTTTAAGAGTTTTCCCAGAAGCTCCCACCCAGTGACCTCTGCTTACATCTTATTGGTCAAAATTATGTCTAATAGCCACTCTAGGTGCAAGGGAATCTGGGAGATGTAGTTTGAGGTTGGGTACACTATGCCCTGTTGAAAGCTGGAGTTTTTAATAAGGAAGAAGGTAGAAATGAATATTGAATTAGCAACTAGCAATAGGCTGTTTATTGCATTTTGGGGGTAGTTGTGCTGTTTCTTAAAATGCATATTCTCAGGTCCTATTCCTGCCCCCCTAGCTTGGGAATCTGCATTTTTAGTAAACTCTTCAAGTGATCATTTCCAGACTGTCACCTGTTCACAGACAAAAGTGCAAGGACTACTACTGAGTAGTTGTTAAAGTCAAATCTGAATATGAACTCTTTTATCCCCTGATGGATTATTTAATCAACATATTTCTAAAGTTCCTACTTTGCATCAGCATTTTCTTATTTTTTTTTTTTTTGAGAACATGGATATATATAAAGCATCCATTACCCTGGCCCTAAAAAGTGCATTCTAAGACAGCATACATCACACACAAAAATCTAAGGAATATAATATTGCAACAGAGCTAAGAAGGTGCTACAGGGGTTTATTGGCTTGCCTCTGCTTTGAAGACCAATGTAGTCAAACACAGGGGCTACTTGGAAGATGCAGAGGCTGAAGATGGTCAGGATTTGGACAGGTGAAGAAGAAGGCAGTTTATTTCAGTGAAAACCATGTGATAATAGGTACACGATAAACATCAGGGAAAGTAAACAAGAAAAAAGTAGACATACTATATGAAGTATTTGAGAGTAATATGATGCAACTTAAAACTAATGGAAAAATACAACTAAGTTATTGCTATTTCATTATTTTATTGTTACTTAAAAGTTTCATATAAAACAATATCTGATATCATCAGAGCTAATATTTAAGTTGAAATGCTTTTATGTTAAAACTGATATGAACATTTAATAGTATTTTTAAAATAAAATACTGGGAACAAGATGTACCCTAGAATTAAAGTAGTTTTAAATTGTGTTTAGGTGAAATAATGCCTGTGTTTATTGTTTTATTAATACGACATTATATAATAGATAGGCCTAGCAGTTATCTCAATTGTAGTAGTATTTATATGAGATCAAAATAGAGAAAACTCCGCAAATCCTGGGGTAGGGTACAGGGAGCCCTTCTTGACTATTTTCTGCGTGTCATGGATGAAAGATCTACCACATGGCCGGACTGTTACCACAATGTGTGAGCTGCTTATAGAATGTCACACAGCTGAATCGTGTGCTCGCAGGAGGAAGAGGATGTTGAGTTTGTAAATTGGCCGTGGAAAAGCTACAATCCTAGAGAACAGGGAAACACAGAGAAGGGCATCTGACATGTGCCTCCACTTTGTGCAACATGGATTTGCTGCTTTGAAAGTGATGGCTGAGTGGCTGAGGCACTGGGTAGAAAGGGAAAGATAAGGTACTGAAAAGCTGAGCAAAATATATTTTTAGATACAATCAGAGCTGCAGTGGTAGAGGAGCAGTACTGATATAGGGAAGAGGCGTGAACAGCACACAAATTGATAAGTTGTATTCAAAGCCTGTAATGTTGCCAGACCAAGGGAAGAAAGGAAGATAGGGATTACTAAAAAAATTTACCCACACCACAAAGGAAAACAGAGTCTTTAAGTCATCCTACACAAAATAAACCCAACTATTCTTTCCCTGCAGAACAAAGGCTGAGACTGCATATTCGCCCCTTTCATGCTGCATACTCATACCATCAAAGGAAAACAGGTAAACAGTCTTTAAACTGTAATTCATAGAAACTAAGAATGACATATAAACTGAATTCCCAGAACACTCAAGGCCCCTCTTGTCCCTCTCACCCTGTCCCTCTCAGTTTCTCAGTCCCTCTTCATCTCTCTCATTCTCTATCTTTAAGAGGAGGCCACGTCTTGGAGGCTCTGTTGCGCAATGGCTAGCGCATTGAACTTCTAAGAGGAGACCACGTCTCTGTCTATAGAGGCGTGTTCCTTCGCTAATAAGCTTTCCTTTTGTCTCTAACTCTGGTCTGCGCTTGAATTCTTTCCTGCGTGCTGTCAAGAACCCTCCCTCTCTTGGTGCAGGACTTGAGTCCCCACTCGAGAGGATTCGCCCTCTCTTGCATCAGTACCAGCAACTTCCAGGTTTACAGTGGGGCCCAGAAGGACACTCCAACCTAGGAGCAGGCAGGAGAAAAGCTGAAGTGCGGCCTTGAGTCAACTCAGTGCTTGATGGGATTAGGATCACCTGACCTGCCCTGACTGCCCTTGGGGCTAGTGAATCAGCAGTAAATTCATAATTGATTTCCTCTTCTTTTCCTGTGGGTCTGTGTTTACCAGAGCCACCAAAAGCTCAGGGTAACTCCTGGTGTTTAAAAGGTGCTTCTGGCAGTTTCTAAAACTTAAACAAAACCAAGCTTTTCTGTTTTTCTGGGCTTGTTTGTTTTTTAATTCTTTTTCAGACTATATGACTGATGTCTGGAAGGATATGTACTGACATTTTTATAGTGGTTCTCACAGCTTGGCAGGTTTTCACGTGACTTTCATCTTTGAACTTTCTAAATTCTTTTTGGTTTAAAAATGAACATGAGTAATTTTTATAAAAAGAACTGTTTTTAAAAGTACGTATACCTGCATTAACTGGGAAATCTTGACTATCACAATTTTGCAGCCTACTTTTCATTTAATAAATATTTTATTGTGAATGCATGGGTCCCTGACATATTTGTATTTGCATGTATACATGTCAAAAATTGTCATGTAAATGGTGGTTATCTTGTACTGTGAATGATTTGTTTTTCTACTTTGGTATTATTTGAATTTAAAAAATATACGCGTATTATCTCCATAAGCAGGAAAAAAAATTTAAGGATAGGGTAATAGATTTAGAAAGGTCCATAAATATTAAGTAATCCAACCAATCATATCATTCCCCTCTCTAATAGACCCACCAGGAGGTGTCCAGTCCCTGCATCACCACTCAGATAACAAGGAGCTGCCGTCCTGTCAAAGAATCTGCTCTCTCCTAGCACAGCCCAGATTCTATGTAATTTCCAACCCAATACTCCCAGTTTTAACCTTTGAACTACCATTCACGGTCAAAATATTTTTGAGCTTCTACTTGTGTGTGCCACACCTTGTAGTGCGTGGGATATAACAATCAATAAAACAAGCAAAAATTCCTGCTCTCGCAAAGCTTAATATTTAGTAAATAGAAAAATGAGTAATATTATATCAGATAAGAATAAGTTATACAGAAAAAAATAAATCAGGGGACAGAGTGATACTTGTAAAATTTCAAATGCTATGTTAGCCAGCTTCCAAGATGGCCCGCAGTGATTTTCACCTCCAGATGTACATGTCCTCATGTGGTTCCCTCCCAGATTGAACAGGGCTGCTCTGTGTACCAGAAGGATATTACACAAATGACAGGCCATGTCTTCTGAGGGTAGGTTATAAAAAATATTGTGGCATCTGCCTTGCTTTTTCTTGGATCGGTTGCTTTGAGGAAAGCCAGCTGCCATGCTTCAAGGACCCTCAAGTTGCCTGTTGGAAGGCTGCTGCCTCCAAAGAACTGAGGGTCCCTCACAGAGTTGCAGTTATGATGTTGGCCAGGGCTATCGTTATCTAAAGTGTGACTGAAGACAAAGAGGATCTACTTCTAACTTCACTCATGTGGTTATTAGCAGGAGGCCTCAATTCCTTATGTGGGCCTCTCCATAGATGCTGGAGAGTCCTTCAGACATGGCAGCTGGCTTCTCCCAAAGCAAGGCATCCAAGAGACAGCAAGGTAGAGCTACAATGTCTTTTATTATAACCTCAGAAGTCACACACCACCACTTTTGCTATATTCTTATTTGTTAGGATCACTAAGTACAATCTTTTAAGGGGAGAGGAATTAGCTTTTGCCTTCTGAAAGGAGAGGTGTCAAAGAGTTTGTGAACATATTTTAAAATCACAACACTCAAGGTTGATTTTGTAACATTACGCACTGGTCATTTGGAAAATATTTGTTCAGAGTTTCAAGGGTCTTTTAAATGTTGATAATTTCATTATACATTTTCAAAAAATCCTGTTACTGTAATGGCTCCCACTAGGTATCACTACACACCTATTTGAATGGCCAAAATAAAGAAATAGCGATTATACAAAATGCTGGTAAGGATGGGGAAAACTCATACATTACAGGTGCGAGTGTAAAACGGTACAGCCACTCCATAAAATAGTTTAAGTTTCTTACAAAAATACATGTGCATTTATCGTGCAACCCAGCAATCACACTCTTATGTTCATGCAAAAACCTGTATATAAATGTTCATAGCAGCTTTATTCACAACAGTCCAAAACTAGACACAAGTGTCTTTCAGTGGTGAATGGTTGAACAAACTCTGGTACGTTTTACAAATCTGGTACCCGGATCTTTTATATTGTCAATCAAGTCATTGCTAAAAACTGAATAAACTGGGGTTGATGTGAAAGTTCTTAGTCTCTTGAATCTAGTTTAACAATAATTGGCTAGTAGGATTGCTCAGCAGCTAATGTTATCCAAAGTTACCACCACGTTGACTGTATTCTTCCAGCTTATTGGGGTGGTGGTGGGTGGATTCGGGGGTGGTTGGGGAAACAGCATTAAGTCCAAAATCCTACTTGTTGTATTTCCGTACTTTAATAACACTGCTTAATAGTTTAGAAATTCATGCAAGCTCAAGTGGTAATATAACTTTCATAATTCTATTTGTACAACATACTACCACATGCCTTCTTCCCCCTTTTAAAAGTGGTATTGGAGTGGCTCCCTGTGGATTTCTAATAGCTTCCCCATTTTCCATCATTCCTCATCGATCATGGGCAATGTTCCTACAATCTCATCTGAATATTTCCCAAAAATCTTGGATATTTTTCATCCAAGCAAAATTTTAAGTCAGTTAGTACAATGCCCACCCCAACACCCACCCAGAAAGAAAACATTTATTTTTAAAAAAACTTTGTTATTTACCTTGGGCTTTGTATTAGTCTGCTCGAGCTACCATAACAACATACCACAGACTAAGGGGCTTAAAACAACAGAAGTTAATTTCTCATAGTTCTGGAGGCTAGAAGTCCAAGATCAAAGTGCCAGCAGGGTTGGTATCTGGTGAGGCTTCCCTCATTGGGGTGCAGATGATGCCTTCTGTGTCCTCACACGGCCTTTCCTCTGTTTTCATGGAGGCAGTCTTTCTCTTCCTATAAGGACACCAGTCCTATTGGATTTTGTAACATTACATACTCGTCATTTGGAAAATATTTGTTCAGATCTCATGACCTCACTTAACCTTTATTACTTCCTTAAAGGCCCTGTTTCTAAATACAGTCGTCATATTAAGTGTTAAGGCTGCAACATATGAATTTGTGGGGGAAAACATTTGGGCAAATAGGCTTCAATTCCTCTGCCCAATGTTTGTTTTTTTTTCCATTTTCCAAATATGCTACTTGAAATAGATGAAATAGGAGATAAGTAGTTGTTTTTACTTAATAAACAATATACTAATACTTTAAGCAATGAACTCCTTCCTTGAAATTTCAGAACTTTTTGACATTTTCTACATTTTTCATAAACCTTGGCTTATTTGGCACTTTACCCAGATATTGTTCCAATGGTTTCGTGTCAAGTATTGTGATTATGTGTTCCTTCTGTCCCAGAAGGCATTAGAGAGATTAAAAAAGAAAAAAATATTTAGAGCTATGGGTTAATAGCTCTCATTCTACGAATACCCCACCTGCCCTCTCCATCTGCTGCTTTATCTTTCTATTTGATCTTAACTCCTCAAAAAGCTCTTTGGGAAAAAGCTGGAAAGCCTAGGCCAGCAAAAGTAATGCTTTCTCAAATGTAACCTTGTAATATTTTTTTCCCCCTCTTTCATTCCCTTGCCCCCATGTTGCCATTTCCCCTTAAGAACTGGATCTCTGAAGGTGGGGCATCTCCTCCCACACACTCATGGGGCGTGCACCCAGGGCCTGGTGCCCCCCAAGGCCTGGTTTGTGGCTCCACCCAAGACCTTCTGATGTAAAGCAGACATGCTAACCACCACACTATGAAACCACCCCTGTAATATTTTTTAATTGAGAAACAAATAGGAAATCAAAAAATAAAAACAAGATGCTTTCAAATGAATAAATTGTCTCCAAGGATAAAATAAGCTTTGAAAACTTAAATCATTCTTTAATTTTTATGGAATCCCTTTAACGCTCAAATAGAAAAATATATATCTTCAAAAATATAAGAGGTTTGAAAATACAATCAGATGAGCTTTTCCCACCCAATTTCTAAAGTGCTGCTAAACTGCTCAGAATTTCAAAAGATGCAGACAATGTCTTGTGACGGCCAGAGCCTACAAGCAGAAAATGTATTGTTTCTGACAAATCTCAGGGTTTTATAAAGAGGAAACTGACAACGAATTATCTTGTTGAGATAAAAATTCCGTATATAGTCACCTTCTTTTGATAACTTATTATCCACTTTCACTAAAGTGAGGTAAAATATCCTTATTTCTATATTTTGTTTTTCTTTCAACTTGTATGATTATTTAGAAAACCATTTTCTACTTTCTTTTTCTACTATGTGAAAATATACTCTCTGATCTATAGAAAAGAAAAAAACTATTTGTAATTAAAAGTAGGTCATTTAAAAGTAAAGTCTAAATAGGAGAAATTAAGGGGGGGGAAATTGCTTAAAATAGTACTGCTTAATTTTATGCGGAAGGGGTAACTTAGTGCTAGGACATTAGTTAATATAAGGAACAGGAAGGAATCACACAAAGAACCAATTCTAAAATGACCTCTTCATTTTTAATTTCTTAAAAACCATGTTCACAGCACACTCCAAGAATGCCATGCAGCAATGGTTTGCTGCTCTTAGTCAGAGTATGTCAGAAAACAAGACAAAGAAACTTTTAAATGGTTAATGGTTTTAAAAAAATTAGTTACCTAAAATTTCTGTAAATTCAATAATCACCAGTCATTTAAATCTTTGTTTCAGAGTGGTAAACATTTCAGAAATGTAATAAGTATCTACTCCAAATCACATTTCTCTGAAATGCAGTTAAAAGCTATACAACAGAAACAAAAATATTTTTCTAGAAAGAACGTATTTGGCATTTTTAAATAATGTTCAAAGAGAAGCTTTCAAGTATACATAATGTTTAGATTTTTACTTTCTATTACCAGATTGGGTGGCCAGTGGTTCCAATCTGAAGTCAGTAATAGGAGGAATGATTACATTGTAGTTAATGAACTTCGATCCTAAGAATGCCAATGTACATTTTTAGTAAAGTACTTGCTTTAAGAAGTGGCATCCAGTCAGTACTAAAAATCATTAAAACTGAGGCCAGATATTTCAAATTAGTTGGTTAATTTTGTGCCCAAGTTGCTTCTAACCTAGTTTTCATCATTTGATTATTTAATATTTCTAGTTAGCTTGCTATATTTCTCTCAAAAATCAATCAGTAAGTATATATTTTGAGTGAAATGAAAACTGAACTTTGTTTCACTGACTTCATTAAAATATGTCAAACATGGTTAAATCTTACATTCTGCCCTTCCAGATAATTTACATTTTCATTACAAATGCAGAGCAGCTGCACCATGAGTTACATCCTATCCATTTCACCTAAATGTAGAAATACCAGAAGTTAATTTAAAAAATTTTGGATAGTTAAGAAGTTCTCGCATATATTTCTCTCTCAGAAACCTGCGATAACTTTCCTTGGATATGAGTATGGAAAAGATGACTTCAGTTCATATTCGTGATGTACCAAATAAAAAGTATTTTGCTTGTGTCTATTTCCATCAGCTATTCTGAAACCAGATTTCCATTTATAATGCCTACTAAAAGAAGACATTTTCCTTTAGAATCACGGTCACAATCTGGAATAAGGATTGCGAAGAACTAATTTCAGGGCAATAAAATATTCGAGGAACGATGACATACAAACCAGGGAGGTGATGAAGCAGGTATGTTCTGATAAAATGCCTCCCTTGTTAACACATCTGTCCTTTCCTCCTCTATTTGGAAATGTTACCTAAGTTTAAAAAATTCTCATCAAAACATTTTATACCACAAAGCCTATAAAATCAGGTTGATTTCAGCTAGATAACCTGTAGCTGTTAAAGAATTATATTATTTTGTTTATAAGATGAGAGGTAGTGACATTTTATTCTCTCAATACTGAGCTGTCCACACATCTGGCACATGGGTTACAAGGGGGAAAAAAAGCACAGAAGCACCATTGTACACTCCTCATGTTTTGGTATTTCAAGTCACTCATAACTTCATTTGCCATTGGCAGCAGCTGACAATCACTGCTGTGCTAACAATAGAAGCAGTGGGTATTGGTGTTATTCATCATATAGGACTGGCGGACCTCCATCATCTTTCAAAAATGAAGCAGCTTTCCTTCCATTCTTCTGAACATGATCTTCGTTCATTTTCTCCAAAGCTTCTATCTACAAAATCAATACATTGAATCCACTTGTCAAAATTCTACTTCACAGAAATCCTACGTTAGATTGAGCCAGCATTTTTCCTCTTAAAACGAAGTCAATCTTAATGATGCTGGCCTTGAATCAGAATTACAGTATATAACACCTATTACAGTATGTCACATACATATTATTACAACACAACACATACGTGCATGGTTTTTACTAGATTATATTACCAGGGTTAATATTTAGTATCTTTATCAAGCTCTTAATTGGAATCAAGATACATCTTACTGTGTACTCTATAAAGCTTTCAAGGAACAAGAAAAAGGAAATCCCAGTGTTCATTCAGCAACAGTAACAGCTACTGAGTAACTACTGAGCTAGAGGCTAGATTTATCACCTTTCTGGTACTTCTCTGGCCTTAGAACCAGCACAGCTTAGTGAAATTCAAGTCGTACTGGGGAGTTCTGGAACAGGCTGTAATCGTTCTCTGCTTCGATATATTGCTAAGAATAATTAGATGCTGTTTCATTTTTTAGTTTTTGTTCAATTTTAAGAGACCCTCTCTGGAGGGAGATTTTTTTTTAATGGTTCTATACATCTTTAGTGTAATGACTGGGTATTTCTAAGGATGGCCACTGTTAACTTTCTATGTTCAGTTAAAAGCGGGGACCATGTGTTACAGCTTTTCGTATCACCGAGAGTGTTCCCCAGTTAACTGCCTCATTCATAAAACAGAGGAAACACAGTGTACTAGAAATGTGTTATTTGTCCATCTCGACAAGGCTGTAAACTCCTCGAAGAAGTGTTTTGCTATATGTCTATCCTAGGGTTTAAGCCTGGAAAGGACCGAAAATATCTCAAGAATTCTAGATTAATTTTATTTTGAGGTTAAGAGAGGATAAAATTAGCTCTAGGTTTCAGTTACCTACTCTATCCAGTACTCCATTACCAGCAAGGTAAAACAATAGCTAAACTTACCTCAGCTAGGAAATCAGCTTCATTATCTGCTGAGATATTTAAACCTGATACAGCATTGAAGAGTTCTCGTTCACTAAGGGCTTCCTTTACTCCTCCTTTCTGGAAAAACTAGTGAAAAAATATAAGAAAGTAAGAGATATTAGCAAGGTTCCCTTAGAAAATAAGAACAGGAAAAAGTACCGTAAGACACCACTGAATTCCTTCCATAGTTTTTAAACCATAGATGTTCTCACTTCAACTTTAACATGCTCAGGTTCTACTTGTTTTTTGCTCTCTTTACACATCCGTGCTGTATTCTGGATTAAGTTTGTCATGATCGACAGCTGGATTAAGTCTGCACCTTCTACAGCTATAAAAATGAGTAATTTATAAAATTGTTTGACATTGCTTTGAATGTGCAGACTCAAAGCATAAATCAGATGAATTAAAATTTTCAAGCAATACATTATTTCCAATATGAAGTTATTCTGTCATTTA